TGGCCGGCACTGAGACTGTACTTGAAGAGTTCTTGGAGTCTGTCTGGCCTTGATTTTCCAGGTTCCACCAAGCTTCAGTTTACCTTAATGGCAACCAGGAAGGGAAAGATTTGGTTAAAGGCTACATTCGTCAACGTTCACTACATTCCTCCAGTCCCCAGAGGAGAAGTGGGACCGGAGGAGAGTTCAGTCCCTGGTTATCTACAGCCACACACACACACCAGCACACACTTGTTGCTAGCCCAGCCTTTAGAAGCACCCAGAAACTTGGGCAAGTATCCCACCTCCTTGGTCTGTACCTCTCATCTGGAAAGTAAGTGGGTGACTTCGAGGTGGCTCTCAGCTCTTGGATTCCATCTTAGAATGGTCACATAGACACGGTTTAGAAATTAGCCTTGGGCAACTCCAGGATTCCATTATTTTCATTTTTGACTTTGAGACAAGGTCTCCTGTAGCCCAGGCTGACCTAGGATTTACTATCCTCCCTCCACCTCCCAAGTACTGGGATTACAGGTGTGTGCAACTACCGTCACTTTCTGTGGTACCGGGGATCGAACTGGGGGCTTTGCTTACTCTAGGCAAGCACTCTATCACTTGAGCTACATCTTCAGTTTGAACAGCCAGTGGGCTGCTACTTACAGGAATCTTACCTCAAGCATTACTGCAAATAAGAAGCCCCTTGCAGTGTTTTGAGATAGGGTCTCTATCTCAGGCTGACCTGCAATTCCCTACGAAGCCAATGACTTTCAACGTCTGATCTGTCCATGTCAGTCTCCCACGGGCACAGACTTTTGCCATCATTCTGGGTTTATTCGGTGCTAGGAATGGAGCTGAGAATTTCCTGTATGCTAGGCAAACAGTCTACCAACCAAGTTACACCACCATCCCATAATGTATCTTTTGGGCAGATTTTCTTTAAAGCCTTTGTTTATGTTTTTATTTGTTTGTTTGCTTGAGACATGGTCCCACTACACTACGTAGCCCTAGCTGGCCTGGAACTCAGAGAGCCCCTTACTTCTGAGTGCTGGGACTAAAGGCATGCACCACCACCACACCCAGCTTAAGACCTACTTAGGCTCCTGTGGCCCTGGGAGTCTTGATCCTAGATCTGACACTTCCGTGGATCTTCCACAGCCTCACAAGTGGATCAGACACACGATGTTCCTGGGAACGGGCTGTGACAGGAAATCTTACCAGCTGAGGTCCTTGCCCTGCCTCAGACACTACAGGCACAAATCAGAACAGAACCCAGAGCTGAAAGTGCCCTTAGCCCTGGTTTGCTGGGTCTCCAGGCCAGCTCCCCCTGGAGCAGGAGCAACTTCACCCTATCTCCAGCTATGCAGAGCAGCTTCCGGCCTGGCTGGAGGAACTGGTTCCCAGCACACCTGGAAGAGGAGTGGGGGACTTCAGGTCAACAGCTACCTGCTCAGCACAAAACTCCGGGCTGGCCCGGGGGGTGGAGACGATTACAAGGTTCCTGTTCTCCAAGGGCTCTACGTGTGGGGAAGCACAGCAGGCTGTGGAGCACGACGGGGCTCCAGAAGCTCAGCTCAGGAGACAACCCATTCAGCAGCCTCCTCCCCCAGGGGCTTCTAACCCCTCGCCCCTCCCCCTCAGCTTCCAAAGGTAGTCAGTCACCTCCACGAAATGGAGGAGCCCCAGGAAGAGAGACAGGCTTCCAGGCTCTCTCCGCCTACACTTTATACACCTAGAGTGACCTTCTGAGGACGCTAAGCTGCTGGTCTGTCCCTCCCTGGGTGGCCATGCCCCACCTGAAGCCTTCAGTGACGGATGCTCTCAGCCCTGCCTCAGACAAACTGCTGCTTGTGTCCGGCTAACTCTGCAGAGGCCTACCTCAGGGAATCCTGTCGGTTAAGTGCCTGCTAGAAAAACCCTGCCCCCACCCCACCTCGGATCCATTCCCTTTCCGTCAGCCAGCCGCTGGTTCCCTCCCCTATAGCATTCCTGTGGCTCACAGACCCCACCTCAAACTCTCCACCGTGGCTCCCATCCCCCAACCTGCATTTCCCCTACACCCTACAATTCATCCCAGCTTGGTCAGCCCAGGAAGAGAGCCCCCACCCCACGCAGATCCTTTTTATTTTAAAAATCTCCATAGGAGAGAGCCTGGAAGCCTGTCTCTCTTCCTGGGGCTCCTCCATTTCGTGGAGGTGACTGACTACCTTTGGAAGCTGAGGGGGAGGGGCGAGGGGTTAGAAGCCCCTGGGGGAGGAGGCTGCTGAATGGGTTGTCTCCTGAGCTGAGCTTCTGGAGCCCCGTCGTGCTCCACAGCCTGCTGTGCTTCCCCACACGTAGAGCCCTTGGAGAACAGGAACTCCATAGGAAAACACTCCAGGAAGCCTTCCCTAGACCACGCTGTGCTCTTTAAACCAGCCTCCCCCTGCCTCTAGGAAGCAGCTAGGCATTGGAGGCCACTCACCAGCATCAGCAGACTCGGGATGCTCAGGGTGTCTTAAGCACAGGGAGCAATACACACGTTCAATTCACAGCCATACCAAGATGCTGCTGACATTGGTAAGTGAGGCACAACGCCAAACCTGTTGCCCTTATCATTCCTCAGATGAGAACAACCCACAACGCAGGTCTGTGATCACTTTGAGTAGGAAGCCGGGGCTTGGGAAGTACACTACCTTGTCCACAGGCACACAAATGTGGGACCCATTCTGAGGGTTTCCACCATGCCACCCTGCCTTTCTTCCTGCCCAGGATTTATCCATCAAATGTCTGTCAGATGGACAGCACTCAATCGGTCACTCTTCATCCTCCAAGGATACTGCAAGCCCAGAAATCTCACAACAGTGGAAATCATGTCCCTCCCTTCTGCTCTCCCATTCTACTTTACAGATAGGAGTTTAAAGGTCTGACCCGTCCCGTGGCAAAGGAAAAGCACAGAAAGGCTCCCGGGATAAAGGTTGTTTACCTCTGGGATGTGCGCAAAAGCACGAGCTTAGGTCAGTTTGAGAACTGTCAGGATAATTCCTTTGTTACAGAGACTTGCACTACAAACCTTCGGTGTTTGCACCCCATCAGAGAATTCCCACAACTCAAGTGGACCTGGGGGTATTGCTGGTAACTGCAGCTAAGGGAGCTGGTCTAGAGGAAGGTGTAAAACCAGCACTACCCAGTACCAGGCTTGCCCCAAGGCTTTTCTGCCCTGGATGTAATTCACCACCGATCATCATAAGCAGCCTGTGGTCCTCACCGTCGCTGTAGTCCCTCCTTGTTACCATACACTGTCAAAAAACTTCCCTGTATTACCACATTCTGTAAAAATGACATTTGGGGCTCTGGGTACCCGGGGCTCAGTGATGCTAAGAGACTTGCTGCTTGGAACAAGGGCAGGTTTCTGGACACCTTTGTTTGCACACATCCATCTCTGACTATGAACCCCATCCCTGTGTAGAGTCCCGAGAGGGCTTCACGGCAGACATGGTTTCTAGGTAGTTCTCAGGTGCCGGACAAGAACCCCAGTCTCGATGTCCAGGGACCAGGCTGGGAGCAGGCCACGGATGGCTCCACGGCATCTCCCCTTAGGACAGGACAGGCAGGTCTCTCCCACAGCCAGTATCTTCCCCAAGAAAGACGGGCTTGGCTTTTCTAAGATCCAAATCACGAGACAAACTAACCCATCTGGCTTTGGAATGGTGCTGAGGCATTATCCCTCCGAAAGGCTGCATTTGAAGACCCGCCATGAAGTCTGGCTGCCTCAGGAGGCGACGCACTCCACAAACTTGTCATTTCCTAAGGATTCTTTCAACTGCAGACTGTGGCCCTCAAAGCTATTCCTATCTTCCCCACATGACAGACCCTTCCCCCAGTGGGAGTGCCCTTCCCTTTCAGGCCAGGCTGGTGGAGTCCTAGGCCACCCACAGGAGGCTTAACCTTCATTCCCTGAGCACAAGCCCTCTCCACCATGACGAGGACGGCACTGCCATCTCATTGTCCCCAACACTAACACTTACAAGCAGCGGAGTCCCTTCCTTGTCCGGGTTGTCACCACAGGTACTTCAGGCCCTGGGAAGCCTCCCCTCCTCACTTTCTCCCGGCAGCTGCCCACTCTGGAAGGGTAGGCTACACCGTTCAAGAAACGTGCCTCCTTCCTGGGCTGAGTATCTCAGCTGTTGGCGGGGACTTTGGGACACCTGCTGTAGTTACGTTTGCAGACACTGCCTGACCTCTCAAAGAGAAAGTAACAATCCATGTTCAGAAAGAGCGCAGTGGGACTGTCTCCAAGGTGCATCTGATGGGAGACGGGTGCCTAAGGTAATACTAAGAAGAAGCTCAACCCTCTTACGTGAAAGAAGTTTCTGTTTGCACAAAGGGGTGGGAGGGGCTCACCATCCCGGCCATGCTCTGAGAAAGGATCCGGTCCTTTGGCAACATGAAGGCAGGGTCCCCACTGAGCCACACTCTGGGACCATGGAAGGTGCGTTTATTTCACCTGCCCCAACACAGACTTAAAAAGCGCTTGGAACCAGGAGCACGCTGCACGCGTGGACACTTAAGAGGTTTGCTTGTGGTCTGCTTCAGGGACTCCTTCACGTACTCCCTCCCCTCCCGTCGGTCGCTTGACTTGGTTTCAACGACCTCGCAATAAGGTCCCAGGTCGCCCCCAACACAAATAAGAATAACCGCACTCTGGTGGTCCCGAAGGAATCTGGAACCTCCCAACACCCAGTTTCCCCCGCTTCCTCCCGGAGCAAACCCACCAAGTGCCCCCTTTACAGCCTCACGCACTCCTGCTCACTCTACACGAGTGGAGACCAGAGGCACATCCACGATCTGGCCCCGCACCTGCGACGTTCTCCAGTTTGAGGGGGCGTGGATGGTACCAAGATCAGGACTCGGAGTGCGGCCACGCGGGAGAGGCTGCAAGCGGGCGGACCACGCGGTGCAGCCGGCTTCCCAGCCGCCCTGCCCGACTTGGGGTGGAGGGGAAAGACCAAGGGTCCGGCGGAGCCCGGGGGCTGTCCACTCACTACTATTCACGGAGAGCGACGGCGGCGGCAGCAGCAACAGCAGCAGCAGCAGCAGCGGGGAGAGCGCCAGAGCGGGGCCCATGGTTATCCTCGCCCGGGGACTCGGAGCAGGTGGCTGCGGCTCTGGCGCAGGGTCGCTTGTCTGGGCGGCCGGAGCGTCGGCGCCGCTCGGGGGAGGCCTGGCGACAGCCGCGAACTCCGGAGTCGCGTTCCGGCGGCCCCTCCTGCCTGCCGCAGAACCGGGCTGGGGCGCGGAGGCAGCAGCGAGGAGCGAAGGTGGTTGCGGCCCGGGCGGTGTCTGAGCGGCTGCGGCCCAGCGCGCGCTGCTGCGACGCCTCCCGCCCCGTCCCGTCCGCGCTGGCCTCCGCCCCCTCCCCCAGGAGCTCGCCCACAGCGGCGGCGGGGTCGGGCGGGGCGGCGGCTGGGCGGGCCGCTGGGCCGCGAACAATAAGCAGAGGAGGAAACTCCGCCCTGGAGCGCGGCGGGCGGGGGAGCACGGGCTGGCGGTCCGGGCCAGGGCGTGTGGGAGTGAGTGTGAGCGTGAGTGTGTGAATATGCGCGCGCCCAATGGGGGGTACTGTAGATCTGTGCTCGTGCTGTGTCTGCGTGCCTGTGCGCGCGCCAGGGACCCCGCCGCCGAGGTCCTACGCCCAGCTTTTTGCAGGGGACCAGCCGGGATCCTCCATAACGCTGCGGCTCTTGCACGCAGATCCCCAGCCTGGGAGTTCCGATAAAATCGACCCTGCCTTGCCCCCGGACCTCCGCGCCTTCTGCGGCTGAGCCTGGGGAGCAGGCCCCCTACCTAGCAGGTGCCTGGATTTCGTGCAATCCCCGAGCAAGTCTGTGCTGCGGGATGAGTAACGGGCCATCTGGACCGATTTTTTTTTTTTTTCCCTTAACCTCTCCCACCGACGTTTCTCCAAATAGATGTGACTCTTTCACGGCAAAATTTTCGACGATTAATTCGTGCGGGTCTGTGTTCTAAGAGCTTTGCACGTATTAATTCGCTTGCTCTTCACAACAGTCACATTTTTTAAAGCCTCGTTTTGCAGACAGGAAAATGGAGTTTTTAAAAAAAATATTAAGAAAGTTGTTTAAGATCCCTTAGGTGGTAGATGGCAGACTTGCCTATGAGACTAGTCTGGAAAAATACTTTACACACTGCCTGTAATACCATAATTGCTCCATAAGAATTAATCTTGCTGAATAAAAAGCAGCAATGGAGATTTAAGGGCCTCGGCGTCAAATCCAACTTGGGCTCAGAACCTAAGTTGTACTATATTACTGTGTGCCTCGGTTCTTCTCATCCGAAAAACAAGGCTATTAACACCTCTAACAGCTGCTGAGATACTTGCTAACGCGGGAGAAGCACGTAGCCTAGGGCCGGAACCTTGGACAGTCTCAATGAAAGAAGCAGCCTGCGCGGGTGAGAAAGGCGTAGACTTGGGGTGGCGATTGGAGTTGGAGAATCTCATAAACCCTAATTCACCCCGTGAAAGGACAAAGAAGCTCGCAGCCTGTTCACTCTACCTTGGGGGCCTTCGCGGGTTGCAGACCCTGGAGTCCACTGCTAAGGAGGCACCTCAACCGCTCCCGGATACAGAGCGGGGGGGGGGGGGGGGGGGGGAGGCTAACACTGAAGGGAGATGGCGAAAATTTGTCACACATCACTCCTGGGTTTCTAATCCGGAGCTTTTCTGCCAGATGGGCCTAAGTGGAGGGATTGTTCCCGAATCCCAAGGGAGGTGGACTCGGTGAACCTCTCAAGTGGGCTGCTCACAGGCTCAGCTTAGGAAGCACGGGAGCGGGGCTGGGGTGTCCCTGCTGCCTGCCTTAAGCTTGGGAAGAGCTGGCCTGCTGTTTTCACGAGGAAGTTTCTGCGTGATCGTTTTTGGCGCGGTTTTCCATGCCTCGTTTGGGAAAGACAGAGGGTGTTCCCCTAAATACGCTAGGATGTGTGTGTGTATCTTTGATTTTTTTTAGCGCTTTCTCCCGGCATCAGTGCCAACAAAAGGCTTGTTATCAAACCAAGCAATACTTTCTCAAAACTGGGGTTGAAATCTTCATTTTGTGTGTGACCCGGCTAACCCATGCTCTTGCATTCAGTGAATCAACTTCTATATCAACTCGAAAACAATCACATTAACTTTGTGGATAGAGTTTGGGACATTTTCAGTAAACATGATTTCAGATTGGCCCCACTCTCAGATCAAACATAGTTAAAATGACAGCAGATATCTGGGCTTGGGAGGTGGGGCACTCTTTGTATCTGAAAACTGCTAAGTCAGATCTGTGGTTAATCTGACAGGACCCCTGATATATGTACCATGGAACTTCCAGAATGAGGCCAACACAATGGGGAGACTACAGGGTGAGCAGAATGGCTCTCAGCTGGACTGAAGCCCTGGCCCATTCTGCACAATTAGCTTGCTGGACTGGAGCACAAGTTTATAGCTGAAATGCAATGCCCTTTATAGGTGCTAGCTCCCCACACTTCCGGAATTCAGTGCACTTTGGCTACTACTATCCACGTATTCTCTCTCTCTCTCTCTCTCTCTCTCTCTCTCTCTCTCTCTCTCTCTCTCTCTCTGTGTGTGTGTGTGTGTGTCTGTCTATCTGTCTCTGTCTCTAGCTCTGTGTGTGTGTGTGCACGCGGCGTGCATGTTGGAGACCAAACCTGTGCATGCTAAGCAAGCAGTCTACCACTGAGCTACACTCCAGCCATCCATTAACAAACTTTAAACCTGTTAACATAGGGTCTTCAGAGTTTACTTTTCACTTCCTCAGAGCAGCCAGAACAGCACAGCAGCAGAACAGATGTTCTATGTGGACACAGATGCAAATCTGCAGATGCAGACATGCATGCCCATGCCAGCTTGGAACCATAACACAGGAACCTGTGGCACGAGGCTTAAATTTGTGTTCTTGTTGTGCCTGGCAGTCCCTGGCAGGTGCAATTTGACAACTCGGTTGACCACATCCCTAAGTGCAGACCTGACACATCCTCTTGATCCTCATCCTGAAACACTCTGATCCTTATTCACAGCTTCTAAAGATGTAGGACAGGCCCTGTCCCATTACACCCCCTATAAAGATCTAACGCACTTGCCACCTCAAGGCCACTGCACCTGCAGAAGGGATCAGGGATGTTCTTACAATGGGCTTTCTAACCTGGGCCAGAGCAGTGTTCCATCTATCTTGAAATCCAGGACCTGGAAGGTTGTGCCTCGCCAGAAGAAAATGCACAGAGGTAAACAGATAAGTTCTATTGGATTTTATCAGAAAAGCTGCACTTTCTTTTTGACTGCCAAGTTGTGTAATTCTAGGAATGTCCACTGGGGCTTGAATGAAGCGCCTCACTCCAAAGTCATGCCCTGTGTGTTATTATCCAGCCGCATCTACGGGAAGAGGCCATGCGCCAGACATTCTGCACTGTGCCGAGAATGCCAGTGTGGGTGGCAGAAGTAATACCTGCACACGAACATGGTGAGCAGGTGGTAAGGACTGTGACACACGGTGGGCAGCTCGGGGAGGTTGGGGACGACGGCTCCACGGGAGGGCTGTGGGGCTCCAGGTACAGGACTTCAGGGCCAGAAGGGAAAGAGGCATTTCAGGAGGCAGAGCGGAGAGAGAGGTCAAGGTGAGGCTGGGGACTGAGGTCTGCAGGGATTGTTTTTTTCCTAAGCGAGGAGCCGTTTGTAGAGGGTTGGAACCTGTGGATGAAGAGGCCACTACAGCCAACCTCTTTAAGACAGTGACCGACTTTCTGTGTGAAAACAGCCACTTTAGCTTCGGTGCCCTTAGAATGAACGAGCAGATGTGACCTCGGAGGAGACCAGGGCACAAGGTGAAGCCAGGGCAATGGTCCAGGAAGGCCATGAATTCATAACGCTGGAGACAGGAATGAAGTGAAGGAGTCGTCTTCAGGAGGTATTTGGGTCCATAAGGATGTGGACATGGTGTAAGAGTTGGGTATGTGGAATGTTATAATGGGCTCTAGACAGCCACTGGTTACTAGGTGGATTATCTGAGTGCAAAGGTTGGGGGGAGGGGAGAGTGGTAGCATTCCTAAGATGGAGGAGATAAGAAAGAAAGAAAAAAAGAAAAACGGATTTGGGGGAGGGAAAGTCCAGTTTCAAAATGTGCTGATGCTAAAGATCCATGACACACTCAGAGTCATGTCTGGAGGTCCTGTTTGGGACACTGGAGCTCAGACCAGAGGTGAGGATCAGGAGCAGCCGTAAGAGAGCCATGGAGGGGTTGAAGGATTGATGGGATGTGCTAGGAATGGTCTTCAGTAGAGATAGGAAGAGCTGAGGCAGAGCCTGTAAAAGAGCCTCTTTCACAGCTGGGCTGGGGGGTGGGGTGTGGGGTGCGGCGGGGGGGGGGGGGGGGCAGCGGCTGTGGAGAATGCACGTGGGTGACTCAGCCAAAAGAGGGAGAAGGAGGTGATCATCCAAGTCACCTGCTGTCAGCGCTAAGACTCACTGACGTGATCTGGCCATGGGAGAGCCAGTGTGATTGATTTCCTTAAGGAGAATGAATTTTCAAGGAAGGGCCGAATGGAGGACAAGAACCAAGAACCATGTAGATTTGAAAGAAAGGGATGGGGAGCAGAATGTGGGGACAAAGGAATGCTTGTGGGCGTGACTTTATCTTAAGAAGAGAGAAACCGGGGCTGGAGAGATGTCTCAGTGGTTAAGAGCACTGGCTGCTCTTCCAGAGGACCCAGGTTCAATTCCCAGCACAGCACCCACATGGCAGCTCACAACTGTCTGTAACTCCAGTTCCAGGGGATCTGGCACCCTCACACAGAATATATACAGGCAAAACTCCAGTGCACATTAAATATCAATAAACCTTTAAAAATGTTTTTTTTTTTTTTTTAAAAAAGAGAGAGAGAAACTTCCACTAAGGGAGAAGTTAGAAGCATGTCCAGTGAGATTCATCGTAAACTATTCATTGCTCTAAGTTTGGAGTTGAGGGCTGGAGAGATGGCTCAGTGGGAAAGGACCTGAGTTCAAATCCCCAGAATCGGTGTAAAGGTGGGTGTGGTAGCACGAGTCTGTAATCCCAGTGCTTCCAGATCAAGATGAGAAGCCCCAGAAATTCATGGATCAAACAGAGTCTGGGTATTCAACAATGAACAACAGAAAAACCCTGTCTCAAGGTGGAGAGTGAGGTTTGACACCCAAGGTTGTCCTTTAACTCCATGTACACCCTATGATATGCATGTGCTAGTGCTTACACACACACACACACACACACACACACACACACACAGAAGGAGAGAGAGAGAGAGAGAGAGAGAGAGAGAGAGAGAGAGAGAGAGAGAGAGAGAGGAGAGAGAATTTTGGAAAGAAAGTTTTGGTTTGAGACACTGTTAGTCTGTCTGTCATGGTAGGTGGGCAGTGATCTTGGAGTAAGTTAGTCCAGAATTTAACCCTTCTCTGGTTCGGTGGCCACATATCCTGGTCTTATCCTTAGCCTCTATAACCCGCAGTCCCTTCTCTGTAAAGTAAACCTCAGCCCACAGAACTCCCATGGGAGCTGGAGGGTGTATGCAGTGCCTAGCTGGTGCTCGTTTCATGAACAGTGATATTTTTGCGTCCACAAAATTGCTGCCTTAATTCCCACTTTGTTCCCAAAGTATTCATTTCCTCTTGCAAGCCCAAGCCTAGGGTCATAAGACCCTAACATGCTGTGTCCCAGAGTGACAGGTGAGAGACTTTCTGCAGAGGTGACGCCCATCTCAAGCCAGAATTACAGATTACAAAGTCTGTTTATACCTACCCTCT